ACAAAAAAAAAAAAAATCCAATACTATAAGAGCAAAAAAATATCTTGTGTTGATAATTTATAAAAGCAGCACAGAATTCCACCACAAAATTATATCAGGTTCATTCAATAAATGAAATGACACAATTAATCATATTTATATGTGCAAATTTTTTTTAAAGCAGTTTCAACAAGTTGTCAATTAATGGGTATTATTGACCATATTACTGAAGGCTCATAATGTTATATGTGTGATGTTACAAATTTGGCAAAATATGTTACAAGTTACAAAATATGACAAATTAAAAAAATAATAAATCAGTTATTAATAATACATTGACCTGAGTATGCTGATTTAAATCATTTTATATAAATATTCTGCATGATGGCAAAACAAGACGTATTTATATATATATATTTTTTTTTAATTAATACCACAGATGTATCACATGGCAATTTCTCTGCTTTTTTATTCAAACCAATTAGCCACACAGTAGAGTTTGCTCAAGGTCAAGGATGCACAAGTTGTTGCATATTTAATCAAAACACTACATATCAAATGTTATTCTGCAGCAGTGTGATTGTTGGAAGCAGAAGGGGAAGATCCGTGCTGCCCCGAGGGATGTGGGAGTGGGTCAGAGGGAGGAAGGGCAAGAGTCAGTTCCGGAAAGGGTGTATTATGGTCTGGGTGGCTCTTGCTACGGTGAGCCGTGACATTGTCTCTCTTTTCAAAGCGGCGACCACAAATCTCACAAGGGAACTGGTAGGTGCTCTCAGCATTGTGCTTTCGCATGTGCCAATTCAGAGAGGCTTTCTGTCGACAGGTAAAGCCACACACCTCACACCTGAGAAAGAGAGACGGGGCGGGTTAGATCTGGAGCTGAAAACTGTAGTAGCAAAGCCTTGAGCAATATAGTTGTTGTGTTAATTATTGATGGAATGTTGCTGTAAAAATTTTTTATTGAGTTATGCAAGCTTTGGTATAAACCAGGGGTAGGCAAGTTCGGTCCTAGAGAGCCACAGTCCTGCAGAGTTCAGCTCCAACCCTGAAAAATATACCCATCTGCCTATAGCCTTAGTAATCCTGAAGACACTGATTCGCTTTTTCAGGTGTGTTTGATTAGGGTTGGAGCTGAACTCCGCAGGACTGCGGCTCTCTAGGACCGAACTTGCCTACCCCTGGTATAAACAAAGGGCCTAATGCAGGTGTGTGGTGAAACTCATACTGCAGCGGTTTCTCTCCGGTGTGTATCCTGCGGTGGATGATCAGGTTACTGCTGGTTCGGAACGCTCGGGCACAGAACTCACAGATATAGTCTCTCTGATCTCACAAACACAAAGAATCATACAGAGAGAACCATATTACTAACCACAGCATGAGAAACACTAATCCCTACTATTTACTCTACTTGTCCAGTGGTTTTGCTTTCAGATACAGATTTTATATCGGACAACAAAATTAACAATATTCCAACAATTACAATAACAATATTAATAGCATTAATGTTATATTAAATAAAATATCATTACATTATTTTATTTTATTTTACCTTCTATAATTGTTAATAGTTTTCAAGGACATTTTTGGAACAATTATATTAAGTGTCTGTAACCATGATGTACTAACATTTAAAATAATAATTTGATACTATGCACTTATTTTGTACGTAGATGTTTTTATATTGTACTTATATTTAATTATATGTAATTACATCTGTAATTATTTTCTGTTATTACATCTAAGTGTACTGTTGACCCTACAACTACTTAGCCAACCCTTAAACCTAACCATACCACCAAACCTGTCACTAATCTTACTCATATTTCATCTCAATAGCAGTAAAAATGTTGAAAACACATAAAAAATGAATGATTTTTCATCAAAGTGCATACAGTAGTAGTTAAAGACACCTAATAAAAAGTGGGACCCTTTTTTTTACCTTGTCCATTTTGGCATATTTTTAATCAGTTTAATCTTCTACCAAATTAACAATGAAATATAGATGATTTTGTGTCAAAATACAGTAGAGTTTGATTAGATACCTGGCCTTTGGCATCAACAACAAAATATATTGGACATGTTTTCTTCTCCTTTTTAAAAGCTAATAAACCTATTTTTAATTTTATTATTGCATTTAGCATTGTTGTTTACATGCCAAACAGACCTGCATCCCACAAACTGACAACCACTGGATTAGAATAATATAATTACCATATTATTACTATTTTTACCTGAATACATTAATGTTGAGATACATATGTATACATACTCATACATATAGTGCCCGTCCATAAAGTACACTGGATGACATTTATCACATACATCATTCATATTGACTAAAAACTCACTACTATGCAACTTTTCATGCTCCTTCAGATGCTTCTTAAAATTGAATGACTTGCTGCAGGTGGGGTGTGAGCAGATGAAGGTTTTCTGCTGGAGATGTTGGTACTTGACGTGATGCTGTGGAGAAGAACAGATTGTGAGATGCTTTGCCATCTTATGAGGTGTTCATGCTTTTCCGTGAACCCTTGCAATCAACGTATTTCTAATTTAAATAAAGTTGATTTTCTCGTCGATCAGAGCAGATTAATGGAAAAGTTCTTCTCTCTCATAGTTGTTTTAGTCCAGGCAAGACTAATGAATGTGTCATGTCAATACTGACTCAGCACTCACATTTAGATATTGCCGACTGAAGAAAATCTTATCGCAGCCTTCAAACTCGCAAGGCAAAATTTGTTTGGATGTTGATTTTCTGTAAACACAGAGATTAGTATCATGTAATTATGACGTTAAACAGGACATTCAAAATAAAACCATGAAAATATAACCAAATATATAAATAAATGACTGTTCTAATATATAGAACATACATAACTACACATAAAAACTATATAAATATAAAACACTATATAAATATTTTTTTTAACATATAGGTCAGTTAACTAACAACTAATATATTTATCTTGGTAAAATTAAATAACAAACCGTTTTCTCTTGCCACCAATCTGGGACACGTCATCTTTCAATAACTGTGGACTGGAAAGAAAAAAGCCAAGAATTTGGGGATTCCATTTAACTTATTGGGAATCTTAAAATATAAAAATATGTGCTGTTAGACAAATCACCTGGTATTTTTAAGAGTTCCTGCTTTTTTGTTTGCATTGTGTGTCTCAGGAGGATCTGCTCTACTCGGGGTCCCTCTGTTGGTTAAATTCAGCACTGCAACTTCCTCATGGCTAAGAGACAGTGTTAGTTTAACTTGTGACTTTTTCAGCCATTAAGTGTTTTAGTATAGATGAATAGAGCACAAACCTATCAGGGGGGCTTTGGTTTTCAATGTAAACCCATGCAGGACTATCTCCAGTCAGCTCATCACTGTCTGCTGAAGATCTGACAATCAGAAAAAGATTGAAGAGAGACATGAGAATTAAACAAAATATTATAAATACAGATAAACAACCAAACATGCAAATATATATACCCATGCTCTGAATGCAAAAGACCAGCTGCCACATAATTTCCTTGCTGTGTCTCAGGTGTCACTGTATCACCTTAACACACAGTTGTAGTTAGTCCTTGAATAAAAAAACAGCATATTTCTTTCAGATAAATCATTAAAAACAAAGTCACCTGCATTGTTGTTTTCCCCAAACGTTTCAGACCTTGTCTCATGTTTCTGTTCTGTGTCATTTGTGGTAACTTCAGCATTTTCTTTTCGTTGTTGTCTGGTTTTTAATCTAGTCACCACTTGTCTTTCTATCTCTGTGTCTGGTTCCTTCAACCTTCTCCTGCCTCGTTGTTTGAGTCTCTTTGGGCTAAAAGCAGTTCTATCACCTTGATTTTTAGATGTCATTACCTTCTCTACCTTAATAGGAGACCACAGAAAAAGATGTCCGTTTTCACAGGTGTATTTCAGACACACATCCACCTCAGATGAGTCTTTGGACTCAGTTTCAGCTTCTCTTGTCTCTGCAGCATGAGCACTCTGATCTCGCTCTGTTGTTTTTGTGACTGTCCCAGAATGCAAGACAGGGGGAAGAGGGCATGTCTGTCCATGGTTGTGGACCAACCGGATGAGTTCCTGCAAAGATTCCTTGGTAGTTGACAAAGTGCTTGTCTGTCCTTTCCCATTACCTAAAGAAGCCGAATGTATAACCAAAGTAGACATTTAACATATATATATATATATATATACACACGCCAAATGCAATGAGTAACCAACAGATTTTGTGATCATATCAGATTAACAAGGCCAAAAACTGCAAAAAATATTTAAGGCTCATTCACACCAAGGACAATAACAGTAACGATAACAATAAAGTTTTAATAATGGTTCTAATTCTGTGAGAATAGGGAAGTCTACACGTCAGTCATAACGATAATGACACAGAGGAACAATATCACTGGAATCACTTTCAGAATGATATTTTCCAGCTGATCAGAATCCACCCGACTTTAAAGAGCCTGAGCATTTAAAGCAGCAGACAACAGAACTGCGTTGTGCAATGGTGTGAACGCTAATGCATATATTGTTATAGTTATCTTTGGAGTTATCATTCATGGTGTCAATGTGTCTTTATTCAGTATTTTTGTCTTGTTTTCCATTACAAATATCTTGAATGAATAAATAACCAATCTTAAATCAAGATATATTTACAGTACTTGAGAACCATAATTACTTAAGATACTAAGTCTTGTTTTCTGAAAAAAGTTAAGCAGGTTTATGCTTGAAACAACAATAATAACAACTATATATTTTTTGTTTTATTTTATGCATTTTTTGATGTTTTACAATACGAAATATGTTGTACTTAGTTATGAAGAAATCATAGAGGTTAAGATACTTTATACAAAAATGATCAAGTATTATAGAGTAAATTATGTCTGAATTGTCATTTTGTTGTTAAACTATGCCTTTAAGGAGGGAATCTGTGGCTTACCTGAGCACTTGATACAAACCCTTGAAACATAGCTGCAAAACATAAAGCAAATGTCATTGTCAGTTAGACCACATTTTATCTGCAACGCTTCACACACCACCAAAAAACCTGGCTGTCAGCCAAATCTAAATATGTTTAGAACTCCATAAACCACAAGTTCATCTTTGCTTTTCTGCCTGTACTTTCTTTTAAGCTCACTCATAATTCCTGTCTTTTCCCTGTATGATTTGGAACTGGATCAGAACTGGAAAAAACTTGAGTCTCATCTTCGAAGCCAGAATCAATAACTGCAGATGTAATTCAACAGGAATTCTAGAGTGCACATCCAATGAACTGTCATCTAGTGGGTGTAAGTGTAACTGTATCTCTCTGCAGAACAGTATTACTGTATTATACCTCTCCAGCAGATGCTGAGCGAGCTCTGAATGAAGAGAGAAGCCCAGTTTCTCTTTGAGCTGACCCCAGCTCTGCAGACACGAGCCCAGCCGCACGCGAGACTTACTTCTGCGGGCATCCAGCTCCCTGCGCCGCTGACTGTGCAAAGTGTCTTTAGAGGATGACATCACACTGACAGGTGCCACTCAAACGACACTGAAGATGGAGATAGAAACAAGACTGACAATCAGGTGAAGATGATAAGAGGTTTGAATGTTCAAATGCGGATTTAAATAATCCGAAAAATGAATAAACTGTTGAATAAATGGCAATCATTGGTTTCTAAAATATATTTGCAATAATAGTAATCGTAAAGGCATTGTAATGGTTCTAATTACAAGTACAGCTCAACTGCATAAATAAGGAACTCGCATATTTATTAATATGAATTCATTATGACTACTGTAAAATCTTTTAATTTGGGGTAAATTTGCAGCCCTGTTAATAATTTAGACATAGTCTTCTATTATTATAATTTTTTTAAGAAAATGAATAGAATATAAAACAGCTAATATAAAATGTAGTCCATACTGACACTAAAGCACCTCCTAACAAAATATATATAAAGGCTATATTTTGTACTCTGTTCATGGAAAGTGCCACCGGCAGTTGCCCTCAGGCCTTATTTGAAGTATATGCATTATGTCTTAAGCTGACAACTCATAAGTACAGACAGGAATCCACTGACATACCTAAATAAGACCGTGAGCGACAGTGTTTGCGGGGCCCACTAGCTCAAACGGTTGCCCTTTTAAGGAGGACCCGCTCAGTCGATCAACTCGGTCTAACGCTAAACTCGGTATAAGAAGCATTAAATATATCTCGTGATGAAAACGACGCTACACAGAAAATGATTAATATCGGCTGAATTCATCTTCTCAGTATGATTATGTGAAGTACGTCTTCATTTCCAGAGTATTATGTCAAGCGATCTGTAGAAAGAGAAAACAAATCGGAAGTTTCCTGTCCCAGAAGCCTTCGCGGCACAGCTAGGATCTATGGGAAATGTAGTCCTAAAACAAACATCTGCGATATGATCATTTTATATAATCAGCCAGTTTTTTAAGCGTTAAAAGACTTGATATAAGTCATTGATAGAAAGTATAACTAAGCAAACTAAATAATAGAATGTATTAATATGCATAATATTGTTTACATTTCTTAAGCAAACTATCTTAATATAGGCCTATGTGTGCCATGATTTACCATAATGTTTTAATCAAAATGGTAATAACATTTTCAATAATGTGCTGAAACATAGACGAAATACACTTGGTTTTGTAATACCACTACAATTATTCATAGCAATAAAATGAAAGTATTTGAATAAATGGGTACACAAGCTCCTCTAACTTCTATAATAGGGCACACACGGCCACTCAAAATATTCAAAGTGCCTGTTAGCAAAGGGTAGCAAAATGCAACAGGGTGAAAGACATGAGATAAGGAGTAAAACAACGAGAACACAAAAAGGAAGCAACATCAGTTTCACATGTGAGATTGGGCTCAACCCACAGCTGCATGTATCAGATCACCCTACCACACATGCTCACTAGGAACACACAACGCACACTGCTTACCTCTCATCTCACACCCCAGACCGCCATGGATGAACTTGGTGAGTTGTTCAACCTTTTATATGTCATTCTAACACTAAAGTCTTAAACAGTGTAGAATCTCTAAAGATGTAACAGCTTTGTAATCCAAAGACTGTGATGATTTTCTATTCTAAGTTTAATTTCTATTGTTTATACTACACTTCTCTGGTAGTCTCATTTAGACTGTGACCTATAAATGCAAGCAGGTATTTTATGGTATGATCATTTTTCTGGGACATTTTCATTGGTTTCCTCAAATTGCACTAAAACACTCATCGACATGTCACACATTTCAACGTGACCAGTGGATTATCAGTGACAAGCTGGGACATTTTAGAAAATAGACAAAACACATTAATGAATCAACACATTACATTTTAGAGCATGAAGCATTTTTAAAACAACCAAACAACAGCACCCAGGCCATTCTAAGTGAATGTCATCCAAAACATTTTTTTATAATAATAAGATGATGATGAAGAAAGAAAGAAAAGAAAAATATGTATATATAAATATGTGCATATTCTTTACTGGTAGCATTTTGGTATACTAAGAGTTTATTTTTCTTCCCCGTGAGAAGTCCCCCAAGTTCCCCAAAAGACAATTTACTTGGTATTTTGAAAGAATTTAGTCAGATCACTCATTTCTATATTAAGTGACTTTTTCTATGTCAGCAAAAAAGTGTGGCAAAAGTTTGAAATTCATGTGTTTGTTATTTCATGTTCTGCATCCGTTATGATGAGAGCAACGTGCCTTTTCACTTCCTCAGGAAATGACATGGATTGCTAACGTACAGTGGCTTTACCTTTAGTTCAATCATAACCATGATTGCAGATTTTTGTTTTGTTTTGTCAGTGTATGTGTCAAAGTTTGTGTGCTCAGTGTCACTGATTTCAGTGCAGGTGTTTCACATGTGTGAATATAATATTGCAGACATGCTTTTAGAGGAGTTGGCTCAGAGCTCCACCCAGACTTCAAATGTTCCTGTACCCATTCCACCCAAAACTCTCCAACTGGGAGCCTCGGTTAAAAGTAACAACACAACTCAGCTTGAACAAGTAATTACATTTCAGGCCAATTCATTTTCATTTTCAAATTGAATTTAAACAAGAATTTGAAAATCATTCAAGTTTCGAAAACTTTCAAAAACCGTTTGGGGTTGGTAATATTTGTCTCTTATGCTTATATTATTACGATTTTACATAACTGTTTTCTATTTGAATATATTTTGAAGTGTAAGTTATTCTTGTGATAACAAAGCTGAATTTTCAGCATCATTACTCCAGTCTTTAGTGTCACATGATCCTTCAGAAATCATTCTAATATGCTGATTTGGTGCTCACTAGTTGTTCCATTGTTGTGGAAACCGTTATACATTTTTCAGCATTCTTTGAAGAATAGAAAGTTCAAAAGAACAGCATTCATATGATATAAATAAAATATTTTTTTTACATAATAATTGCTGTAATTTTGGACAAATTCATCCTTGCGGAATAAAAGTATGAATTTCTTAAAACAATTAAAAACCTTACTGACCCCAAACTTTGAACTATTAAATGTCTGCAATATTTAGGCCCAAACTGAGCCATTCTAATGTCTTTTTCCTCCCGTTACAGACTGAATCTTCTGGATTTGTTGCTGGTCCAGGAAAGACATATAATCCCTACAGGTATATCCACCTCTTTCCAAAATTTGTAGCAGAAAGAGCCTGAGTAAAAATCCGTCGATGTATCATATTTATAAAATATGGTTAAAAAATATTTTGGCATACATGGTGTCCTTTGAGGTTCAGCTGTTCAATAAGATGAATCTTTTTTTAGTGTGGTTCCAGTCCCCGTGGATGCAGGAGTGATGAGTCCCGGCACAGCTACACGAGAGCTCGACTCCATCATGAATGAACTGCTAGGGCTAGGCCTGGAGGTGAGAGAAACATGAGGTGGACATCAGTTGACCTGTTCATGCATCAGCTAAGTTAAATCACTATTGCACATTATGAGTATCACCTGAAGAGGGCAGTATAAGCATATTAAGGCTCCTGATATATATACCCCTCAAGTCAATTATTTAAAGAAAAGTCATTCAAATTGTCCAAAAATGCTTTATTTTGTAGGTTTCAGAACCAGTTCCCACATCAAACCCACCTCCAGTGGCTTGCAAGTCAATAAAAGAAAAAAAACCTGAGGAAACTAAAGAAAGTGATAGTGGAAGCCAAAAAGAGACTAAGAAACCACAGCATCCTCCTCTGTCAGAGAAAGTATCCAAGAATGTGGATGCTATAGATGACCTGCTGGGCTCTCTCAGTACGGACATGGAGAAAATGGGGGTCCGCACTGCTGCCAAAGGCCATTGTGCTTCTTGTGACAAGTGTATAGCTGGGAAGGTACAAGCAAAATGCAGACAACAAATCTGCAAATTACTATCAGTTTTTGGTATGAACAAATATGTCATCCTATATCCCAAACTGCAGATGATCACAGCTCTGGGTCAGGTGTGGCACCCAGAACACTTTGTGTGTACAGCATGCAGGGAAGAGCTCGGCACTTGTGGTTTCTTTGAGAGAGATGGCAAGCCGTACTGTGAGAAAGACTACCAGAACCTCTTCTCCCCTTGCTGCGCTTACTGCAAGGGTCCTATTACTCAGGTGACCTGCCATATGTCTCTATTTACCCTCTGAAAGCTCCTTGTTAGAATTTCCTTGGGCATGTTAATTGAAAATTAGACAAGTTCAAAACAAAATGATAGTTTTTAT